GAAACCCTGTCTCTACTAAAAACACAAAAATTAGCCAGGCATGGTGGTGGGCGCCTATAATCCCAGCGACCCAGGAGGCTGAGGCAGAATTGCTTGAACCCGGGAGGCGAAGGGTGCAGTGAGCTGAGATAGTGCCATTGCACTCCAGCCTGGGCAACAAAACCAAAACTCCATCTCAAAAAAAAAAAAAAAAAAAGCCTGGCAGAGCTAAGCTGGAGGGTTTGATGGCAGCAGTGTCTGCAAAGGCAGTTTGCATCTACGTCATGTGCGGCCTTCAAAGGCAAAGTTGAGGAGCTGGGTTTTAGGCTATAAGCAACGGGGAGTCACTGAATGTTTTTCAGCAGAGAAGCGCCATGATGCAAACAATGTTTTAGAAAGACCTGGTGACAGAGCATCAGAGGAGCTGCAGGGGCAAGCCGCCCCGCCCTACCCTGTCCCTCTCTGGTTCTCTTTGTGCCCCTCTGTTCCTTCATCATCTTCTTTACTATGTGACTCCTGACACTCTCTCCCTGCCTTCTCCCCTCACCTGCAGGGAGGCACCTCCCGAGCTAACAACTTGGAGCCTGCGCCCTCCACACGACTGTTTCAGGTCCAGGGAACGGGCGCCAACAACACAAAGGCCTTTGAGGTCCCAGCGCGGGCCAATTTCCTCAATTCCAATGATGTCTTTGTCCTCAAGACCCAGTCCTGCTGCTACCTATGGTGTGGGAAGGTGTGTTCAGGGCCTAGAGGTCTCCCCATCCCCAAGTGGGTCCTGGCAGTCCCCCAGTTTCACAGCAGCCCCTAGGTGAGGGCAGGAACCCCTGGCCAACTAAGTTGTGCCTGCTCGGTTCTCAGCCACCTCTGGAGCCCAGTCTCTCCCTCCTCAGTAGCTCTGGGTCTATCTTTCTGCCTCGTCAATGACCATCCTCAGATTCTCTGCCTCTCTGAGTCAGTCTCTCTTGTTCTGTTTCTCTGGCCACCTCCATCTGTCCCTGTGTTGGTCTGTCTTTGTCTTGGGCTCTCTCTCACTATCCTGAGCCTGTCACTGCCTCTCCTTTGATCTCTGTAAGAAGAATGCATAGCCTCTTGGAGTCCCTCTTGACCCTTCAAAATACTCTCTAGTTTCTTCTATTCTTTGGAGTGTCAAGGACAGAGGAGAGCATGTAATTGTCCCCGTGTGGCCTGTATACACAGAGTCCTGACCCAGGAGAGCCCTCTTAGACCCTGGAACTCTGGGTAGTGAATGTGGTAGGAGGGTGGGGGTAGGGGTGGCACTAGAAATTGGCCAACCCTTTTTTTTCCTAGGGCTGTAGTGGAGACGAGCGGGAGATGGCCAAGATGGTTGCTGACACCATCTCCCGGACGGAGAAGCAAGTGGTGGTGGAAGGGCAGGAGCCAGCCAACTTCTGGATGGCCCTGGGCGGGAAGGCCCCCTATGCCAACACCAAGAGGTAACTCTCAGGTCCCTCTGCCTCCAGGTTACCAAGGTGGGGGAGCCTCCCACCGTCTCCATCCCCACACTCAGAACCTACAGCAGGCATGGACTAAGGACACTGTGTGTCAGGCCCTGTGCCAGGCCCCCAGGGATACAAGATGAATCAAGGGCAGCCCATGCCCTTGGAGCCTCTTGGTCAGGGGCTGTGTCTGTGCTGCTCACTACAGTATGCCTGGGACCTGGTGGGGTATTTCCTTGGCAAAGGGAATTCCTGGCCATAGGAGGCAGCTCAAAGCGAGGGGCAGTGCTAGAGGTTTGCCTTTCAGTAAGAAGATGCCAGAGGCCAGCCTGCCTTTAGGTCCTGACACAGGCCTGGGATGCTGAGGGGCACCAGCTACAAGCCCTCTTTCAAATGATTTTGTTTTTTTTTTGTGACAGAGTCTCGTTCTGTCACCCAGGCTGGAATGCAGTGGCGCAATCTCGGCTCACTGCAGCCTCTGCCTCTGCCTCCCAGGTTCCAGCAATTCTCATGCTGCAGCCTCCTGGGTAGCTGGGATTACAGGCACCTGCCAACATGCCTGGTCAATTTTTGTATTTTAGTAGAGGCGGGGTTTCACCATGTTGGCCAGGCTGGTCTCGAACTCCTGACCTCAGGTGATCCACCTGCCTCAGCCTCCCAAAGTGCTAGGATGACAGGCGTGGGACACTGTGCCTGGCTCAAATGGTTTTTCTAGAGAATATCGATGATCCACTGGTCCCTAGTTCAAAAGCAAAAGGGCATGTACTGTAGTAGCAGCAGGAGAGATGGAGGGAAGATATCAGGAAGAACTTCCTAACAAGGCTCTGCAAAAGCCACTGGAATGCATGTCCAGAAAGCAGTGACAATTTCTCCCTCAGAGCACTCCTGGAATTAGAGGGGACCCTTTTATCAATCAGAAGACAGAGTATTTTGCTGGAAATGACCTTTCCATGCCAGAGTCCCTTCCTCAGAGTTCTGTCCTCAATCTCCTTTTGTCATACCTTCCTTCTTTTTTTTTTTTTTTTTTTTTTT